TAAAAATAGAGGTTCATGACACAGGATTAGGTATTAAAGAAGAACATAAGGAAAAACTCCTATAGGCATTTGCTAAAGTGGAAGATTCAGAAAGTAAAAAGTTAAATCCATAAGGAGTTGGATTAGGATTAATGATTAGTAATATGATTGCTAGAAATTTGAGTTTTAATGAAAAAGGATTACAATTTCAATCATAATATTAAATTGGTTCTTCCTTCTGGTTTTATATTGCAAAGAATATTTAAGAATCAGATATTTTAGAAGAATCAGAAGATATAGATGAAGAAAGCCCAGAAAGAAGATAATCATTATGGAGATACAATAATATCAAGACTTAACATATAAATAAATGTTAATGTGCTAATATTTTAATTGTTGATGATAATGCTTTCAATATAGAAGTTCTTAAATTCTTAATTTTAAAGATTGATTAATCTCTAAAATTAGAATATTCTTTAGATGGCCATACTGCTATCTAAATGGTAAAATCTAATAGATGTAATAAATGTAACGGTTATAAATTAATATTAATGGATATTGATATGCCTACAATGAATGGCATATAAGCCACTTCGATAATTAAGAAATAATATCCAAAAATTCAAATTATTGGTTGTTCAGCCTATGCAAAATAAGAGGAAGAAAATTTAGCAATTTAAAATGGAATGGATGGATATTTAGTTAAACCAGTATAAATTGAATAACTTAAAAATTACTTAAAACTTGAACTTTGATAATTATTATTATTTTCGTTAAACATTCATGTATAAACTTTGCAAAATCTCCTTCCGAAATTAAGCTTGATTTATTATTTAAATAGAATAATAAGATTTATTGAAATTAAGATACAAAATTATTATTGATTATAATTAAGTAATTGAGTAATTGAGAATTTAAATTAAAACTTATATTTAAATATGATCAAAATATGGGATTATTAGTTTCACAGTTCATTCTTTTAATACTTTTGTTTACTATTTCTTCAAGTTTATTACGAAATTCATTATATTTGATAACTTCCTTATCTTAAGGTGAAAATTTGGTAATACGATGTGTCATTATACTACATCTTTGTTTTATCTTCTTGGTACTTTGTTAATCAATATCATTTAAACTTGAGAGAACAGATTCATTTGGTGTTTGCTATTTAAATCCCTTAACATAATGACTATTATTAAAATCTAATTTGTAAGAAAATCTAATAGCCAAAATTATAAAAATTAAGATACTTTTTTAATCTCTTCAGCAGGTTCTGTGATTGTAATATTACCAGTATAAGCTCTTGTTAATTCTTTCAATAATTTTGATCTCTTTTCACAATTTTATTTAGGATAGAAAGGAGTTGCCTTTTCTATATATTTTGGCTAAATATCAAAATATTCCTATCTAACTAAGGGAATAGTATCATCAAAGACATTCAAATCTTAAATGAGTGTATTGGGTGGTTTTTTTAATTGTAAAATATATTCTGCCATTTCGTAGTACATCATTTTATTTTTGACATCTTTCAATTAATATTATGGAACTCGGCTTCTATACTGTTGTTCTGTTGAAAGAGAACGCAATTTAGTTAAAGTTTCTTATGAATCCATTTCATTAAATGAATATTTTAGATCTAAGTCAGTATAAAATTATTTTAATTATTCCATTTTCTCTTGCTCTTCTTTATTTTAATCTTATATTTACCATTCAGAATCATTGCTATATTCTTCTCGCATAGATTATTCATAATTCAATCTTCCTACCATCTACCAACTATTTTTATTTATTATTATTACCCATTTAATTGTTTAAGTTTGTCTATTTTTGTGTTGAAAATCTTGAACCCAGGTGGTCCATGTTTTTGTTAAGTAGAATCAATTTTGCAATGTTAACCTTTACAAAATTTTAATGCTTAATTTCTTTTCATTCCTGCTTATCTGAGTCTGTCATAGATGATGGCATCTTAAGTTGAGAATTCACTAGCCCTTTCTGTAGGAAGAAAACGAGAACATTATTTGTAATATCCAAATTCACTGATTGTAAATTTATTATTTGATGATCCATTTGATTTTGGCGATTTCATTATTTAATTTAATAAAATTTATAAGTCATATCAATTACATTTGTTTTTATTTTCTTAAGCATAATCCCAAATCTCTTATTACTAACTAATATAATAATAAGTAAATTCTTTTTATTAATTCCAATATATCTTTATATAATACAATCTTTTTTATTACAAAATGAATCATTAGCTTTACTCAAATATTTATTGGTCATATCCTTAATTTTTTAATGACTAATAATTATATATCGAAATACGTTAATTAATTTGGAGCAACCTAGTGTAATTATTCATTAAGTTCTTCTATGAATTAAATTAAATGCTTAAAATAAATATCAGCATAATCAATAAATTCAATTATGTTCACTAATAACCATATTTACTATTGATAATATTAATCTTAATTATAAATAAGATTAATTACAAATTTATCTTTTAAAGTATTAGTTTAGAATCCAAATTTTAGTATAATCGAAAATACAATCATGAAGTTTTCTTTCAATTAATAAATAAGTTTTTTAACTTTCTTATTGTGCAATTATATCCTTGATTTTTTGTTATTTTTTTTGTTAAGCCTATAGGCCTAAAAGTGATTTCTAACATTTAGCTTATTAATCATATAATTTTAGCATGTCTAACTATATTAATTCCAATTCCTCATATCTTTTGTTTGAATTAGTACCATTCCACCAATTCTTTAATTATCCAAATAATTAAATACTTTTATCTATTACTAATTATAGATTTTATGCCAAACCTCCTTTCATATTGAATTAACCTTAAATTCTTTTATTCTCAAATTCCTATTAATCCCATTCTTCGAAAAGCTAATGTTAGATACAATTTAATATTATATTTCTGACAGAACTTGAAAGTATCAATACTTAATGCATAGTTATAATATTTATAACATTTCTACAACAATCTCTTTCTCTCTTCTACATCTTGGTTACTAAGTTTTCCCACTCCAATTCCAATAATTAGATGTGGTAATATGAGCCAAGGAAATCGAATTTATAGTTCCTTCAACAAAAACTTAATGTCATTATAACTTCTCTTTACTTTGATCGTGTACCCTAATTAAGAAGATTTGGTTTCTATCTAAAAATATACAACTTCATTATTTATTTCTATATGGTTAATTTCAGCCCATAGATTTTACACTCAATTAAATTACTTAGATACCTTTTCTGATTCTAAAGTAAGAAATCATTATAGACTTAAATTAGAAATGTTGATTGACATTAAGAATGGTTTCGAATGATGTATTTCCTTTCCATTTTCTTCTAAGATACCTTCTTTATTTTCATCTTCAAATATTGTATTATTATGTTGGCTTTTTCTATTTGTGAAAGTAAATGTACTATTTAGAAAGTATTTAGGTTTCTTAAATGAACTTTTATGGTTCTAAATTAGATACATCAATTTATTCATGAGTTAAAATATTCATTTAAGTTGATTACTTGAAAACTGTAATGTTTAGTTTTCTCATTTGATAAGATTCATATTTCTATAAATTTATATGACTTTGCATTTTTAATATATAAAATATATGGATGTAAATATATATTAGTCAATATAACTAAAATTCTAGATTCATAGAGTACATATTGAATTATTAAAATAAGCATTAAATTATTAATACTAATTGAATAATTGATAGTATTTAAAAAAAATAAATTAAGTATAAAGATTATTGATATTAAATGAATAAAAGTATTAATTTTAAAGTATTTTTAAAAGGATAATATTAAAATATAATCACTTTCTTTTCAAAGTATCAAATTCAATTTATAATAGTATTTTTTAATTATATTGTGTTAACTATAGTCATTATTAATTTATTTTGATTTAAAATGAGGTAAAGTGATATATATATTAAATAAGAGTATCATTTATTTCATATTTTTAATAAATTAAATTAGTCAATTTATGAATCAAGCAAAGCTAAGGCAATTTTAGAATTTTAATTTTGAAAACAATGTTGTTTGGAAGGATTTTATTAAAGAATTAGATCCTAATATGTATATTGTAAATTCAAATAATTAGACCTAAAGAAAGATTTGAGAAGCTTAAGAAAATTTGGTATAGGGATAATATTGATCCAGAGTTTGATCCTGAATTTATTAGTAATACAAACTCACAACATACCCATCAGAATCATACTCATACTTAAAAAGGAAGTGCTTCTGACATAGATTAATAAAGTAAAAATGCTTTTCATATTAGCCCTTGTTTGTAAAATTCTTTTTGGTATAGAGAATTTTCTAAAATTGGCATTTATTGTAACTTCTTTCATCCCAATCGGTCCTAATACATAATTTGCTATGTTAGCCTGTATTTTAGGTTTGTATAGATAATGCAAATTTCCAACATGGACTACGGATTATGGAAAGTTAGTGTTAAAAAATGAATTTACTCAAAATCTATTGTTTCTATGTGGATATTTCTTTGTTTACTCTTTCAAGACAGTATTCAATGTTCCATTGATTTTACACTTTGTTCTTGGTTTAGCCAGTTATTTGTTGATAGTGCAAGGTTCAATTTATCAAAGTATAAATAAATATTTATTTTTAGAATTTAAAAGTTAAGTTGATTAGATATATTTATAGTAGAAACAAATTTATAAACTAAAATACAGAATTGAAATAGCATTAGTTCCAGCAAGTTTTGTATTCCTATTATTAGGAAGGTCATCTCTATTTACCATCATTTACTTTGCAAATTTTATTCGAATGAAATACTTGTTAATTGATAACTTTAAAGTAGAATGCAAATATGTATATTAAAAGTATTTGTAACCATACAAATCATATCCAATATATGGTTTCATTATTTCAAAGGTCTAATAAATTTATTCATATTTGGTAAATTTTATATGAGTATACAATTTCATGTTAAAAACATTAATACACATAAAAATTCTAAATATTATAATCAATTTTAAAATATTATGTTGAAACTCAGAATATTTCTTTGGAGATATAAATAAAATAAATTACAAAAACAAACATTTATTGGATCTCTTAAACTTGCTAAATAGGAATCCAATATTTTACATAATCATTTCTTATAATTACAGTAAGTACCTAATGAATAGAAAGCTAAATGGAAATAAATTAATTTGAAGAAGGAAATTGAAGAATAAGTATTTAACATTAAAGCTTAAGCAAAATTGATTAAAATGCCTAATTTAAATAAATAACACATTTTAGAAGCACTAAAATTATATAATCTTTCAATCTAAGCATTATTAGAAGGAAAAAGAGAAGTTGTATAAAATGATAAATTTGTATTTAAAGATGGACAATCCTTATAATAGAAAGTGGATAAAATTAAGGATTTTTTGATGAGAATTACAAACCAATGAGTGTGTTTAATTATAACAATTATATTATTATTAAAATATAATCAATATTATTATTTTTAATTATCCAATAAGAAAAATTTAGTTTTAATATTTCCTTATACTTTATTTGTTGATTTTATATTGATAATCAAGAGTAAATTTAAGTTCTTAATTCAACTAAGGATTAGAGTTTTTTTATTGTTAATATTTATAAAATTAAATTAATATTAAGAATACTCTTTTATTTATTAAGATAGAATCTCTAAAATAGTAATAGTTATTATTTAATATATTTTTCATTATTAATATTATATTAGAATTAAGGCAAATAAAATCATTATAACTCTAATTATAGGCATATTTATCAAACAAATTAGATCTCTATGTTGAAAGTTATTAAATAGAATTGATTAATTATAACAATATAATAATATAAATTTATAATGCTAATCAATTGATTTAAGGGTTAAAAACTTGTTTTTATCCCATCAGACTCTATGTTTAAATTTAAAGTTAATACCTAATAGGAGGCTTATTGCTATTATTATTAAGGTTGAAAAGCATTGTAATTCATATCGCTTTCAATTTCTGCCATTTCTCTATCTAATTCACTTTCATCTATATCACATCCATAATTTCTATTCATCATTTCATTCATATAGTCTGTTTCAAACTTCATATCTTCCATATCATCCATGATGTCTATTGATACTTATTATATATAATACCATCTAGTTTATCCATATCGATTTCTTTGAATGCTTCTTTTTGAACAGCAACAACCTATTACATTGCTTAAGCCTTTTATAAGAAATCAATTAAGTACCATTTCAAGAGTATTTTAAATGTTTTCTTTAGTGAAAGCAACTTAATCTAAAGTCATTTAATTATTAAGCATTTATCCTAATTATTGTTCCAACCTAATCTTAGTTTAAGTAGATACATCTTCTTTCTCTTGAGAAGCATAACGGCTCTTGACTTAGCTGTGGTTTATTGAACACCCTTAGAGTTTTTGGCTTTGTAATATTGCTCACTTATCTATTTATCCAATTCTTATATTTATTCAGTCAATTCTTTAACTTTTGCTTCAGACTACTTTAGTAAATGAAATATACTCTTTTTTATTATTCTGTCAAGTCTATAACCTTAGGTTATTGTGGATTTTATGGAGGAGGTGGCTATTATTTGGGAGGTTCTTATTTAGAAGTACCAAAAAGACGATTCATTATGGAATATTATTTAATTAAATAAATTTAAAGATTATGATAATGACTTATAAATTAATATTATATAGAATAAAATGAAACCTTATAAACAAAAATATAAATATTTTCAAATAACCATCTATTATATAACTTCATTATATATATGAATCATAGAATCTAATCACTGTTTATATCAGAATATTACTAAATAAATTAAAATAGAAAAATAGATTATTGAATTAGTTTTTAATAATTAAAGAATCTGGATAAGTTGAAGTATCTATTATCTTTGTAATAAATAATATTTTGATTATAAAAAACATAAAATTTTTATATTTTATTTTTTTATATGTTTGATTTGATATCATATTGTTTAATTGTTAATGCCAAGATAATTAATGATATCTTGTGGTTAGACTTACCTATTTTATTTTCCAAGGTCTTTAAATTCTTTTTAAAATACATCACGTTTAAAAGATGAACAAATTTGTTAGCAAAAATAAGTTAATTGCTTTAATTAAGCTAATTCCTTATCTTAACTATTTTTAATTATTTCGTCATTTAATACTTAGAACAATATTTCAAGTTCAAATTTATAACAATCATCATAGAATTCCTATGAGTTTAAAACCAAATTGTGATTTTAGACAGTAACACTTATCAATGATTATTTTGTAGTATTGTGGATTGGAGAATCAACCTATAAGAAATTCGAACAATATTATTCAAATATAGCTATTGTTTCGTTTGTTAATTCATTCAAATATGAATTCATTTAATCAGATGTAGGTAAATTTTTTTCATATTACTCCAAAAAACTTTTCCAATTTTAATCTTTAATATTTTCAAAAAAACAATCTTATTTTAAATAATTGCTCATTTCCCTTAAAATAATTAGATGCATTTTTTTAACAATATATACTAGCACATTTATATAGGGATGGTTATATTTTGGTAAAACAGTATTAATTTTCTCTGCTGTATATTTCAATAAATAACATTTGAGACAATCTAATTAAATTTATAGCCAATAAGTATAATAGCTTTAATGTTAAAATTAAGGTGTATTCATTATAATACTTAAATAATCAGGAAAATTTGGTATTTTATTGATATCAATTTTATGTTGTGATAAAATTCTAATTTTTGGATTTAAACTTCTAGGAGAGGCACTTTTTTGATTTTTAATAATTTATGATTCTGCTGGGATTATTAATGGAGTTTTTCTTTGAGAGGTGTATTATGAATGAACTATAGGTAAATCAAAAGAATCGATAATTCCTTCTTGATAATTGTGAATGTATTCGCAATTTTTATAAAATTCAATATATTCTTATTGTTTTTCAAGTTTAAGATCTTAAATGTATTAATGTTGATAAATTTAATAAAATGATAATCGTTTCTCTCGATTACATGTAAGCAAAGCTTCAACAAATGAAAGTAGATTTTCTTTGTATCTAGTAGTTTTACAAGGAATAAATTCAATGCTATTTAAATATTTATAATATTATTCTATTTTATCATACTTATATCTTTCATATTGATTAATACTTATTTCAACATGATTTATTGATCTAAATTTTATTAAGTGATACAAAATTGAACCAATTAACCAAGAATCAAATTTTAAGTCAAAATCCTTTTAGTTTTCATCTAAAAAAAGTTTAAAACAATATTACTTTTATCAATTATTTATTTTAAATATTCAGGAGGTGCCAATATATCAAAATTATCTTACTTAATATCTGGCCCAAATCCAAAATCCATTAAAACAAGCCTATCATTTGGTTTAACAAATAAAACATTATTACAAGAGAAGAGTCTTCCAGGTATTTATCTTGAATGTAATTCATATAAGGCTATTAGTAAGTTTTTAAGAAATAATTTTAATTCAGCATAAGAAAAAGATTCTTTAATTTTACCTTTATCAATCACCATTTGATCTAAAAATTGACTAGTTTCATAATAATCAAATAAATAATATTATTTCTCTTAATATAGTAGCATTCCCTAAAACTATCTAAATAAATCATAGTGTAATGATTCTTTTAGAGATTTGAAATATTAGATTATATATTGACTAGAAATCACTTACTTAGAATCTTCAAGTGCATAATGTTTAGTTTAAGTATTTTCGATATTCTTTTCAATTTAAAATAATTTTCCTGAATTAGTTTCTAAAATCTGAAATAGAAATGTAATTGACTCGTTCATTTAATTATTTATTAAATTTACAATTATAAATATTGTACATATTTTTCACACTATATTTATTTTAAATCCATTAATCTTCTAAAATTGATTGGAAATCTTATAATTTATTTAAGTGCAGATGAAAAAGAAAAGAATTAAATTTTATTTGTATTTATAATGATATAAATAACTAAAATTTTTGAAGTATTGAAAAATATAATTTATAACAGACAAACCTAATAGCTTAAATTAATGTTTATGTACTATATATCTCTTTTACTAATTTTTCAAAATAAAACTAATTAATATTTAATTTTTAGATTAAATTCAGAAAATACTACTCTTTTTTATAAAATTATAAATATTATTAATTTAATATAATTATTCTCCTGATTAATATCTTATAGAATCAGAATTAGTTATTTATTATATTAAAATTATTACACTATTTAAGAAGGAACAATAATTTTATTCGAGTTTAATCAAATGAAAGATTATTATTTAAAATAATTTAATAATGTTATTACAAAATTCATTTTGAAAGACAAATGCTATCATATTATTTGACAATTTTAAATACAATAATTATAGATATTATTATTAGAATTCTTTTGTTATGTTATTTGATTAAAAAAAATAAAAATAATTTATTAATATAATTGGGTTTGTTATAAATAAATATATAAAATCAAATGAAGAGAATGTTAGTAAGAGATTTTATTTATGATCGTCTATATCATCCAGTTGAAGGATATTTTGTTAAGAATATTCAACTAGGAGCACTCAAAAATCCTATTGAATTTAAATAATTATTAGGTTATGAGGATTATACAAAAAAGTTAGCAGAAAATTATCCTGAAAATTAATGGTTAACTCCTTCTGAAGTATTTAGACCTTATTATGGAATAACATTAGGAAATTATATAAATTAATAATTTCGATTCACTCGTAAAGAGAAATTGAGAATTGTAGAAATTGGTGCAGGATATGGTGCAGCATGCGAAGGTGTCTTATATTATATGAGAAATCATTAACCTCAAACATTTTCAAATTTAGAATATCATTTAGTTGATATTTCACCAGAAGCATGTGTTTAAGCAGAAAAAAGATTATCTTAAGATTTCAAATAATAAATCAAAAAAGGAAATTTACGAATCTTTAATTAAGATTTTTTGAATTACAAATAGCATACTTAAAACAATGAAATGTGGTTTTTTGTATTTCTAGAGGTTTTTGATAATCTTGCTCATGATAAAGTAATTGATGGGAAATAAGTTTATGTTGAAAACATGAAAGAATTTGCTGAAACAATCACTGATCCATTAATTAATGAAGTATATACTATGTATTAGTAATTTAAATAATAAAACAAAAATTAAGATGAAAATATAGAAGATAGATTTTTATTTAATACATTAAGAAAATTGATAAGTAAATATTATGGAAATTAGAAAGTAATATAAAAAATAATTAAGAGTCTAATAGTATATTTCTACCAACAGGAGCATTATAAGTATTGAAACATATCAAATCTAATTTTCATAATCCCTCTTTAGTAATTGCTGATTTTGATTTACTAAAAAATAACTTTACCCAAGAATCTATTAATGCTCCAATAGTATCTAAAAAATTGACTAAGCCTCATGAAAGATTAGATTATGAATCTTATTTAGTAGAAAGAGGAGCTGCAGATATCTTCTTTCCAACAGATTTCAATTTTGTTTAATATATGGTAAAACAAATTTTAGGTTTGGATTCTTAAATCTTCAAGGCATATTAATTTGCAGATTAATTTTCTTAGAGTTCTTGGACAACAACTAAATCTGGTTATAATCCTTTGAAAGAGGATTTTGGTAATACAAGCTTTTTAGTCACTGATCATAGTTGAATTATTAAATACATAATATAATAAATTAATGTTAATAGGTGAAAAATTATATGATAATTCTTCTTAAATATATTTATTAAATTTTGAATATGAATGATATTGATATAAAATATAATATATATTAACAGTCATTATGGATGAAGAATTTATTAAAGTGATGCTTTCTATTGAAGAAACCTATTAAAATCTAAATAAACATTAGAAAATTAGGGTTGAAGCTTGGACTAAGAAATTATGTTAAGTGACTACTAATGAAGTTTGGAAAAAGAATCGAAATTTATATGCTCGCATCTTATTAAATTAAGTTTAAAAGGGAATACTTTCTGAACCATTTGATAAAAGACCTCCTGAAGGTCCCTTACCTAAATTAAATAGATATCTAGTTTTAAGTGATTAAAAAGAGAATGCTCGACCTTAAACTAATAAAAAAGATAGTCTCTTTTTTGAATAACAACAATAATAATAGTAATCTGTAGAATGTCCTAATCTATAAGAAAAAATGCTAAAATTATTAATTGATTGCAGATAATATTTAGAGAAAAAGACTGATCATGAAGTATAATTCAAATTTGATTTAAAATTAGGCAATTTTATTAAAGGAATAATAAGATTAATTCTTTATATATCTTCAAGAGGTTAATCAACCTTATATACTTGAATAGATAGATGAAAAAACAGAAGAGAATGAAGATTAACAAAAAGATACTATGCAATTTTTGTAATATTTAGATAATTTTGAGAAGAAAACTGAGAAATTAAGAGTGGAAACATAAAAATTACTTCACGGAAACAATATTTAATATAATGTTTGATTTTATTTTAATTATTTGGATATATCACCTACTTTATTTAGTTTATAATTATCCATTTCCAAACATTGATCTTACAATATTGCTTTTATGGCCACTATATTATTTGATATCCATTTTAGCTCATTTCTTTATTAAATAGAAGATAATTTCATATCTTATTATGTTATCTCCATTAATTATTAGCACATTAATAGAAACAACAATAATGGAGGGCATATTTTCTACATGCATAGCATGTATATTCAGGTAAGCATTTGATATGATTGATTTAGCATGAAAATGTACTCTTACATTGTAAATGAAGAAAAACTAGACTTAATTCAATATAATCAATATCTATGGATACCATGTTTAGTTTGTTAACCTAGAAAAATGGTTTTTAAGAAACAAAGAAACTTTATTTAAATATTCAAATGTATCATAAATTCCACATTAATAATATTATGGGACTTTTATTATATTACATATGAAATAAAGTCTAATTATATGGAAGATGACTTAGTTAAATTTATTATAAATTATTCATTTAGATTAGGTATTCTTATTGTTGTTAATCACTATTTAATTTTTGATTATCTTCTAGGTTTATTTAAAGAAATTACTAAAGCTGAAAATATCATTTTTTATGAAGATTGGTGGAATGCTGATGGCTTTGGATAATTAAATAGAAAATGGAATAAATAAGTCCATAATTTTCTTAAAATCAATATATATTAAAGGTTGAGTAAAAATGGATAAAATACTAAGGCTCTCATCATGACTTATCTTGTTACTGCCTTGCTTCATGAATATTCATAAATGTTTCACTCAAAACTTTAAGATTGTATTATTTATCCTTTAGTTTTTTCTAATTCATCTTGATTCCCTATCAGAAATATATTCCATTATCTAGATATGTACTTTTTATTTAGATATTATTTGGAAATAGCTTATTGATATATTTGTATACGTATTATTGAATATATTAATATAATATATTTTATTATTTATTATCTCATATTTAATAATATTATTTAATCTAATACTATAAAATAGTAGTTATTTATATATAATTTAATAAAAATTAAAAAAAATAAATTTCAATTTATAATTTATTAGCACAAAGGACAATTATTATGATTTGCTAACCATTTTGACATGCAATAATAATGGAAAATATGAGTAGCATGACATTTTAATTTATGTACTCTTTACCCTTTTGAAATTTTATCTAAACAAAAACAGCATTCTCCATAATCTTCTTATGCATTCTCTACTAAATTATCTATGATTTACTGATTATTAATTCTTCCTTAATCATTTATTTATAAATCTATTGTAATTGGCAAGATGATATTTTACTATTATAATGAATTAATAACATACTCTACGATCCTCTAATTGATATGCAAGATATTTTCTCTTAATTTAGTGAACAACACGTGCGAATTATTCAATAAATTACCAAAACATTAAAGCTACTATTATAGCTGTATCACAATATAAATAAGATTCAAGACTGTACATTTATACTATTGTAACATTATATATCTAATAAAAAGGAAATTTTATTAATCCATAAATTGTTTAGATGTACAATAATATAAATGTTAAATTTCTCCAAAATCTAAATTTCTTACAAAAAACTAAAGATCTAACCAAAATAAACCATCCTGTAAAACATGGAATATTTAAACTATATATTCTCACATCTTAAATATCTGGAATTTATTTGTAAATAGATTTAAGTTATCTATATATTCTTGAACATAATATTATGCAACTTACATTCAAGATTGCCACTATGATTGAAAATACTTTATTATTTGTTTCTTCATTATTCTTGGCTATCATTATATACAAAGCTAATTTAATTCCATAATATCCAATAGAACCAAGCATAAAGATTATTGCAATCATTGTAATACCTCTTTTATATAATTTCTCCTCTTATAAAGATTCCTTAATGTGAAAAGTAAAGACTATTTCTCTAGAATAATCTTTAAAATCAGCCAACATTTTTATTAACTAGATCACCAAGTAAAACTACAATAAGAATCCAAAAATAAAGATGATAACAAAAAGTACAATTGAAATTGAAATATCTAATTTAATTATGAAATACTTTATGTGAACTCAAACTTATCATTATGATATTTCAATCTTGTTATGAAACTAAGAGTACTATGAAATACTATGATAACTAAGCATTTTAAAACATATTTTGGAAACCATAAATCTGAATTATTTAGAATTGAATCATGTAACACTTTCCATGATTAAAAGCAATTATAATTATTGATTTCTGCATTGATCAGATTAATTGTTTATAATCTATACAATATATAACAGTTTATTCCCATAAATATTAATGCTGTAATTATATAAAGAGTTCCATAAATCTTTACTTCTTAATCATTCACTGAACCTGCTAATATACAAGCTAACAAAGTTACTATTCCAGAGCATATTATTAAGATCCAACTGTAAATTTTTGTTTTGAGTATTACTTTTTATAACATTTTATAAAAATTATTAAACCCATCCTTATTTTTTAATTAACTAAGCTTATGGAATAATAATTATGTATGAATATAAAATGAGATTAAAGTTATTGGAATATATTACCATTCAAAGTTTAATGATAAATTAAATTATTTTAAAACATATTAATTTTATCATGATTACTTTTATCTTATTGTAATTATTTTATAGATATAATTTTATTAGATTAATTAAATGTTAATAATAATAATTATTTCTATTCAGGATCTTTTAGAATTATTTAATCAAAAATTAGAATTAAGAATAGAAACTCTTAATATTATTCTATATTTATTTGAGATTTCCAAAAATTATTATATTTTTATTTAAATAAAGATGTGAGATCAACAAAATTATTATAATATATATATCAAGACATAAAGTTACTTCCAGAGTATCTCATCATTTACCGCTATTGACTAGAGGAAACTTATTTGATAGTTAATAATTACTTAATTTATTTTATAAACCTGATGATACTAGTGAAATTGAATCTACACGCCCTCTATCATTTTTAGTTGATGAATTTTTAACAATAAATCTAGTTACTGATTGTGATGATGATTTGTATATATTTCTTGTTGGAGTTACACTTAAAAATTCTTACTATTTTTTCATCTTTCCCATTTGAATAAGCCATTATCTATACATCCAATCATCTGTCTATACTGATTTATCAACCATAAGTGGTGGATCAGGTTGTTTGGCTTACTCAATTTATCTTAATCTTTAAGGAGCTTAGATTCTATAAAGAGTATTCTTAGGTTTTTAACTGCTCATTGGAGGTTTTTAGTCTGAATTTTTAGAAGGTGATTCTTATAAAATAGATGCTTTTTATGAGTTTAATGTAGATTTTGGATTAACAGGTTAAGGTTTTTTTTTATTATTAAATTCTTATTACTTTAAGTAATTTTTTTGTTTAGTTGTATAAGTCTTGGGTTAAAATAATTGAACTAATTCATCATCTGATAATTCAGCTTCAGATTAACTAGAATCTGATCCATTATCTTAATCATCAGTTTATGGCATCTTACCTAATTCTTCAAGTATTTACTATTAAATATCAGGAACATTTGCTTAATTAGTAAATTCTTTTGATGTATCTTTAACAATTTATGATAGAGCATTACAAATACTAACACCACAATTAAGATAATCTTTAACCTAGAAATGTTTTTTCTATTAACCATAAAAACTGCATTCATAAGTATAAACCCAATTAATTTTTAATTCTCTCCATAATTATATTCTTGCTGTTTTATCTTTTGAATTCTCAATTCTAAAGGTACAAGAGGGATAATCCATAAATGGATTTAATTTAGCCATCAATAAAGCAAAGACTCTTTCAATTGTTTTAACTTAAGAAGAATAGGCACATCCATAAACAAATGAAGATTATCTTAATATAATACATATTATAAACTTACTTTCTAGAATGACCATGCAAATCAATAACAAGAATGATTTATCTCTCTTTACTAAATCCTTTAACATACTTTTTAGCATAATAAACACTAGGATGTAGATATTTATTTGGCTTTTTCCATCTTCTATTTAAATCACTGCCTTCCAATCCACATCTATAATTTCCATTAACAACACCATCTGGATTCATCATTGGGAATATTTTAAAGATGCAATTCTATCTCAAATATTCAGCCTATGGATTATTAGATGTAAGAAATTCTATAATTCCTTGCATTACATAAGAACCTTAAGGTTCACCTGGATGTTGTCTAGCTAGAAAGACAACACCTTTTCTATAGGCTCTACGTTAAAGTGTATTTTAAGTTATGGTTAACACTTCACAAGTATTTCCACCAAGAGTAGTACATAGAACTTTACGTGATAGATGTCTATATTATATTAATAAAGATTACTAATTTCTTTCTTGATCATCTAACTGTGTATTTAAGAATTCTAATAAATTTGTATAAGTGTATGGATAAGAATGAGCAAAGTAGACCTTATCATCATTATGTTTGAATGTGTAATGAAATCTTAACTGATAGTATTTCTTTTTTAAAGAAAGTGGATATTCCTTCATAAATGGACTTTTAAAATAGCTAATGTTGAATCCATCTCTACACCATTCAGTTCCATTTAATTGGTTATCCTTAATAGAATAGACAGCTGGTTGCAATCCCTCATTAAAAAGACTGCCACTTTTCAACTAGATTGTTATGAGAAACGATCTTATACATGATTGAGCAAATTAAATTATATGGTCTATCCAGCCTTAGCTCCAGTTACACTAAAAAAGAACCATTAAGTGTTTCCCCTTGTATTAATATCATTTTAGATGACTAAATCATACACATTTTCTGATTTCTTAAAGGCACAAAAGAGGTTGCCTGATTCAAAATTTGAATCAAATTGAATTTAATCAGAAGTGCAGGATGTTAATTTTTAATCAAAAAGTGCTTCTCCTCTAAAGTAAACTCTTGGCTGTGCTCTTTGTTTAGCATTATAAATACCTTTTAAAATTAGCAATTAGAGTGGCAAAATATGTTCTGTCATTACTAGTCCTTTTTCCTAAATCCAACTGATCAAATCGCTTATACACAAGATTTTGTTTATTTTCATCATAATAATCAAGAAGAGTTCTATTATCATCATTAATAGGAGTTTCAGAAATTGCACAATTACGTTGTGTTGATTCTTCTAAAAAAGGGACATAAGTTTTAAAAAATTATGGAAGTGATCTAAATGTATTAAAAAATAATTATTTACTTAAGTGGGTATAATGATTTAACATCAATATCAATTGTCAATTTCCTTGGTAGTAATTCATTTGCAGGAGGTAATTTTGTAAGTGTTTCATACACCTATATATCATCCTCACTTGAACTGTCATTGTTATTATTATTGTTGGAATTCATTAATTATAATATTTAATTGTTATATTCTAAGGGTTAGGATCTATAACAATTCCTTTGCCCTTTCATCAACAATTCATATATACTAAACCTAAATATTAAATGAATAATAATAAATTCCAGTCTCAGTAATGGCAAATGTTATATGCAAAACATAAACAGACAGTAGATAAAATAGAACATCGTGAATATAAATTCCTTAATGAAGTAGAACTCTAATTATAGAGATGTAATTTCTTATATGATAAATCTAGAAAGGGATGCCAACACAAAGGTTAAAAATAGTTAATATTTCAAATAAAAGTAAATACTCTCTCGTATCATTGAATCTAATCTCATTCTCTCTAAAAAATTGTATGATATAGAACATAGAAAATAAGCAAAGTTCATGTAAATACGTAATAAAATCTATTGTGAAGCACCGATTCGTTGGTCAACCAAATCACTAAGAGAAGAAACTTACAATAAAATCAAAGAAGAAAATCATAAATAGTTCAAAAGAATTACTCATGTCAAAGGAACTCTACAAACTTAATGATTAATTATAAAATTCTAAATATTCCACAATCAGCTTTATAATTCATTAAAATCCTAAAAAAAATTTAAAGATTAAAGTATATCATTAAAATTCTTTTGTATTTTTATAGGACTTCCACTTTGAATTAGATATTGTATTAAATGACATTGTTGGTTTATGTACTATATTTCTTTAAGATTTGCTATAACTAAATTAAGGAGAATCCAATTGTTTACAAGATTTAATTATGGAATATTTATTTTAATTTTATTTTTGCTATTCTAAGTCTCTTGTTGAAATACGATTTAATACTAATTTGTTGATATCTTAAGTTCTTCTGATCTATTCAAATTATTTAATTTAAAATGATTTCTAACTTTGAGGAGAAGAAATTATTGATTTTTATATTATTATTTTTTTCTAATTTAATTAGAGTTCTTTACTAATTCCTTTAATATAGATACGATGGTTCTTTATTATAAATTACTTCATTTTTTTATCCCTTTTAGGTATTGATAAGTCTTCATACTTTCTTTAAAATTGAGTTAGATATCCACATTCAGAACATTCACAACTTCTCCTTTTTAATCTAGTTTAATTATCAACACTATATTAATCAAAATTCATGGATCCTTTGAAATATTTATTAACAATAGATATCGAACGATTTGAGTTCCTTAAAAGTCTTCCATTTTCACTATCCATTAAACTTAATTCACTAGGTATTTCAGTCTTAATTTCATCACATAAACTTAACTTTCTTAAATTCTCTATTTAATTCTAGTAATCAATTTCTTTTTAAGTTGGTAAATTAGCATGTTATTATTAGAATTGATTAATCTTGCCACATTAATTACAATAACATGATTTTCTTCTGGTTGGATGTTCAAAGTGAAATGTGTTTATTTTGTTTAAGCTTTTACTTCTAAAATCAATGATGTTTACAGAAAGATAAGAATTCATTATTTCTTATCAAAATTAGAATTAATTATTTTGTACTTTTATATGAAATATATATTTGACTTATAAATACTTTAGGAATTTAAATTAGATTTATTTTTGAAATATATATTTATAAAAATTTTATAGAAAGACCATTTACTTTAAGTTAAGTATTGATAAATACAATAATTGATAATATAAGTAATGATTTTAAATTTCATAATTTAAAAACAACAGATATTGAATATGACATATTAATTATTTTTTTTGATTAATTAATGATTATCCAATTCATCAATATATTAGAAGAGTAATTGCAAAAGATAAATTTCATCAATTTTGAGATTGACCTTTTTGTAATTCTTCTTTATATGGTAATATATTACAATATTATGTATAGATAATTTGTACTCCACTTGGATTTTTGTTTCATTACATCAAGAATCCAAATGGAAGACTTTATTATAATCTATTTATGGGAATATTCTTTTCAATGATTATTTGTAAAGAATGGTTTCCTTTAATGTTAGGATGGACTATTGTTATTTACTTTATTGCATAAATCTTTAAAAAATGTGCATTACCTGTTTCCATAGTAGCATTTGGTGTTCTATCCTTTGTTCATATCTATAGACTTATCTATTAGTACCTGAGTTGGAGAATGGATTATAATGCTATTCAAATGTTGTTAACAGCAAGATATATATTTTATGCTTGTGACAAATAAGATGGTAAAGTATAAGGTAAAACATCTTTTATGATGTATTTGTCATACATTTTTATGTTCCCCAATCTAGTTGTAGCACCAATTCCATATTATGCATTTGTTAGTTTAATAGAAAGAAAAACAGATTATTCATATTATACTCCAAAATTTGCTTTGATTTCATTTCTAAAGGCCTTAGCAGTTAGTATGGCAGAATTACTTATAAGACCTCATTTTGATACAGATTGGTATTATTCAGATGAATGGAAATATCAATACAGTTTATGGTTTAAATTTGCTATGATTTTTATTATTACTCCCTGTGCTAGATTCACATATATTGCTGCCTTTTATTTTACATAAGCAGCAATGGATGCAATGGGATTAACCTATAATGATAAGACAAGTAAAAATAAGTTAATCAATTTATAGAAAAAAATGATTTATGGCTTGTATTTGATTATTCTTTTGAATTAGAAAAGAATGTAGTAATAAAAACATAGAAATGGAATTGTAATATTTAAAATTGGTTGAAATATTGTTTTTATGATCGTCTTTAAAAGAGATTTGGTAGTTTAACATTCTATCTTGTTTTTATGATCAGCAGTTTATGGTATATAGTGTTATTATAAATAGGCATGGATTTTATCTTAGTTATTATTTTTTCTTTATCTTTTGGGCCATTACAGGATAAGTTTATAAATACTTTTACAAAGCTTAAAGAAGATTTTATTTGTAAATTATGTTTATAAATATTAAGTATTCCACAATCTATAAGACATTTATTGGCTTGGATATTTGGTATATTGACATTTGATCATTTTGCAACAGCTGTTCGTGTATTATAATGGGAGAAGACAATTGAATTGCATAATAGTGTATATTGGATTCCTCATATTGTAATTTTGGTGATTTTCTTATTCTTCAATATCACCTAATATGGCCAGAAAGATGGAAAACCTAAGGATGGAAGATCTAAGAAGTAGGAATGAATTTTGTTTATATAGTAAGTACACATTATACAAAAATATAATCAAATCAAATTTTTGGTTTTCTTAATATTTCTTAAATTAAATACAATAAAGAGAGAACCAACATTATTGTTTAAATAATTAAATACGATCTAGGCACATAGCTAAACTATGAATTTAATCTAACTGCTACCATCATTAAATTTTTACTAATTTTAAAGGATTTATTGCTAGTAATTTTGTGAGTTGAATTACTATTCATTTTTTATTCAATTGTAAATTATTCTATTGTATGACCATCTAAATAAAGTTAGACATCCAATAATAAATAAGATTCACTTGAAATAATTTCCAAACTTATTGGAGGATTAAGCTAATCTTTAACTGTAAATTATCCTCCCTACTCAGGTAAAACAACTACTTCCTAAGACTCCTATTATAATACAATGGATGGAATAAGTAAAATCAAAAAAAACAAACCTATAATTAGAATTCAATTGATACTAGATAAGGTAAAGCCATAAATTCTTTTTTAAGTTCTCTTGAAATACTAATCAATACTAGTTGTAAAGGAATCCTATTGCATATCCCTTTCATATATTAGGTATTTCTGTTTCATAAAACTAATCACTGGCCGTGGTTCCATTAATTTTTTTATTAAAAATTTTTGATCTAATAATGGATCAGATTACAATAAAAGACTTAGATTAAGGATCTATTCTTTATGAAGTATCATCCTCTAATATAAAACTCAATAAATCATAACATTGGGAAAACTATTGGCAACAACTATTCGAAACTCATAAATTATTATGTACTGCTGCATAAGAAAATGATATTGAATAGTTGCAAATTCTATTATCACCAAAATATCATTTACCAATTGATATCAATATGAAATTGGAAGAATAGTGGTCTTGTCTTCATTATGCGGCTATGGAAGGTCATTTTGAATCATGTAGATTATTGTTGGAACATTAAGCTAAACCAGACATAACTAATGTGTAATAAAGGACTCCATTACATATAGCAGCTCTTAAAGGATATTTAGAAATTTGCAAATTATTATTATAATATGGAGCTTCTATAAACTTATTCGATTATTAATACAATTCTCCTTTGCATCTTGCATCTCAATATGGTAATAAAGAAATAATAGAATTATTATTGGATAATGGAGCTGATTATAATGTTAGGAATCATTTTAATTTCAATGCTTATGATATTGGTTTAGATTAACAGACTTTAGAAATATTTGAAAAAAGAGGACTTTATTAAGATTATTAGAAAAAGTCATTTAGAGGAATGCATAATAGAAATGATCATATTAAAAATCTATTAAAATTATCAGATCGACAAAGTACATAAGCAAGTTAAGTTAAAGTTAGTAGAGTTGAAATTCAATAAGTTGGTCCCTAAGATTTTTCAGTATTAAGTTAATTGGGTAAAGGATCTTTTGGATAAGTATATTTAGTTTAAAAGAAAGGGAATACTAATTATTACGCAATGAAAATATTATTCAAAAAAAAATTATAAGCAGCTGGTATAGTTAGATATATTTAAACTGAGAGAAAAATATTAACTTATGTTACATCTCCATTTATAGTTAAATTACATCATGCATTTTAAACAGAAAATAAACTTTATATGATTTTAGATTATTGTCCAGGAGGAGATTTAGAATAATTAATGAATGAAAGAGGAAAATTACCTGAAAAAGCAGCTAAGGCTTATGCATGTGAAATATTATTAGCTTTAGAAACATTACATTAAAATTGTATTGTTTATAGAGATTTAAAGCCTTCAAATGTTGTTATTGATAAAGATGGTCATGCATTGTTAACAGACTTTGGATTATCAAAAGAATTAAATGCTTAAAGAACTACAAGTTTTTGTGGAAGTTATGCTTATTTAGCACCAGAAATGTTAGATAAAAGTGGTCATGGATATCCATTAGATTGGTATTTATTTGGAGTTTTTATATATGAATTGGTTCATGGTAAACCACCATTTTATGAGAGAGATAGAAATACTATGTATAAAAATATCAAGACAAGTGAACCACCAAGACCAGATAATATAAGTGATGATTTATGGGATCTCTTAAAAAGATTATTAGAGAAGAATTAATCAAAAAGATTAGGATCAAAAGGAGATGCAGAAGAACTCAAAAATCATTCTTGGTTTAAAAATGTGAATTGGTAATAAGTAATTTAGAGAAAGTAACCAGTACCTAAAGCTAGTTTGAGAACTGAAAATTGTGATTTAGATTTGAAATTGACATTCTCAGAAAATGCTTAACATCCTGAAAGACATAATTTTATACATGATTGGGATTATTGATACTATAACTATATTAAATTATAATTCAATAAATTAATCAAAATTAATAAAAATAGCTTTAAACTCTTAAAATTTATATATACAAAAATCAATAATTATATTATCAATAAATTGGATTATACTAATTATCAAGTTTTTAATATTTTTAACTAAGATCTTTTTTTTTGTTAATAATAAAATTAGAAAATATCTTAATTAAAAATAAATATTAATTTTCATCAAAAAAAAATCATAATTTTAAAATGTTCTACCACAATATAAATTATCTTTGAGAAAGGTAATTATATACATATAATTATTCATATTTTTTTTATTTTCTTATTTAATTATGTTTTTTATTTTTTATTTTGACAATCTGAACATTGGCAGTGCGAACTACATTTTTTGTTTCTTATAAAACATTCACAATATCCTTTTATACATTTAGTTTTTTTGCATTTACATCCCCATACCTATCGTGTGTCAAAAGAATCAAGATCATGATGTGAAGCCCTTTATTCTTTAATTTTAATCTATTCAACTGCCTTAAGAACTTCATCTGTATGTTATCCATCATTATAACAATCAGAGCATTTGCATTCTTAAGTGCATTATCTTCTATTATGAAAACAAGAACAGTATAATTATAAACAATTTGTTTTCGCACAATGACAAGGCTTAATATCTGAGTCTAAAGTAGGAGAGTCATCAACCTTTTATTAAATTAAAACTGATATATGTACATTATAGTTAGCTTTACTTGCCTTCCTTCTAGTTCTAGAATTCACAATAGACTCTTCTTATATTGAAATTTATTCAGGCTAAATATCAATTGATAATGCACTTTTGAGTTAATTATCTGTTCTTAGTAATTTAGAGGGACTGAGAATTTCAATTTACATCATTTATTGTTATTTTTCATCTTGAATCTAGTTTAGAGAGGGACTGGAATTTAATTACTCTTGAATCTGTATGATAGGTTGATCTTCAATAGAGAATTTACTTTAAAATTTAGAATAAGTATCTCGTAATATTTATTTATCTTGTGGTTCAAATTCATCTTCAAAACCTTCTTTTTTTTATGACCAAGGAAACTCTGGAGATGAAATATATCCAGCACTATTATTATAGCTTTAATAATTCATTAATAATAAATCATCATTTTTAGTTATATATTATATCAACTATGTCTTCCAAAGGCAATTCTTTAAATAATTCCACGTATTCTTTGGCTAATTGTTCACTGCAATCAACGATTTGGGCTAATAGTTTGACTTTATCTTATAATTCATTATTAATAGGTTCTTATACTTAGACTAACTCTTAAATTTCAGGTTATGAGACATATATCTCCTCTTTAATTTATTAAGTTTAATCAACTTAAACTTCACAAGTTTATGGGAAATCCAATTAATCAAATTATTAAGTCTATTCTTATGGTTTTTCTTATTCTTAAACTTTTTCAATTTCCATTTAAGTTTTAATCACATTGATTAAATCTGAAGCAACAGTACTAGCTGTTTCTTTGATTTCCTTAAATTTAGGGTTTTCAATAATCTACATAAAGTGATTAAAGATATGAGGAAAAGGACCTACATGATGAAATTCTCTTTGAATAAATGGTTTTGGTTTTTAAGAATGAGATTTTTAGAAATCTTCTAATTCTTAAGAGTTACTAATTTTGAAAAGTTTATGATTATTATGAAGATTTTTAGATTGGCATGATTCACATAAATCAAAATCTGGACATTCAAGACATTTAAATCTAGAACCAATAATAGGATGTATTTAACAACCATCACAAGTGTGATAAGTATGAATCATCTTTTATTCTACTTATGAAGGTATCAATTATTCTACTACTTACAATTTAACAGTATGATGAGCTTCATCAATTAAAATTTGTAAATCCTCTTAACAGCTAAGAGATATTTCATCATTTTCATTATCAAAGTATGTTAATTTGAAGTTTGAATTAATTTATGGATAAACTTTTTTAACATGTGCTTTGAGTGCTGAAAGTGTTGGGTTATCTAGTTTTACAAGATGAATTTCTTTGTTATGTACCAACTTGAATTTCATTTATTAATTTTATAATGAAAAAATAATTAAATTTTGATTAATTTATAAAATAATTAGCACCTCAGTATCTGATTGATACCGATATAGATTAGGAAGAAAGATAATTTGTTTAAATTATATGGTTTTCTTTAATTGATTCGAATTTAATAGAATTTATGTTCTTTAGTAATTGTCAGAATTTTAGCGGATTTTGTTTAAAAAATATAAAAATATAAGAATTTTTTAATTTTTTCATAATGTGAGTCTTTTCAATTTTTGAAAAATAATCAATTAAATGGACTTATTTAATTAAGTATTTAATTTGGTCGAGTAAAACATGATAAAACTTTTATTTGTATGAATTAAATTAATTAAATAATGGATAAAAAGATTATAGCAGATGTATTCTTAAGACATTTAGAATAATTAGTGAGTAGACTTAATGATGTATATAAATTTATAGATTTCAATAGGAGATTCCAGCTATCTGTATATTATCAGGTAAGGAGGATGGATCAATCAAACCAAAAACAAAAGCATTATTTGTATGGCTATTTGGATACGATATGATTGAGACAGTCTTTTTAGCCACAAAGAAATAGATTTTTTACTTAGCAAGTGATAAGAAACGTAAGATTCTTAAGTGAGTTTATAGTTCAGATGATGGAAGAGATAAGGTAAAAGTTAAGTGGAAAGTTTGAGGTTCATTTTTATAAGAAAATGAATGATAATAGAGAATCATTTGATAAAATTAGATAAAAAATAGAAAATGTTAAATTGGGAATGCCAATTACTGAAAAATAAGCAGGAAGTTTAGCTGCTGAATGGTATGAATATAAGGGATGGTAATAAATAGTGGATGCCAATTAATTAATTAGTGATGTATTAGCAGTTAAAGATGATTAAGAATAAGGTTTTATATAGTAATCTTCATAATTAAATACCCGTCTATTTAAGAAATTGATTAAATAAATAGAAGATTCAATAGATGTTGGTACACGTATCACTCATTAAGATTTGGCAAAGAAAGTTGAATAATCTTTAGAAAATGATAAACAAAAAGTAATGAAAGAGATTGGATTGTAAGATGGTCTCTATGATTTTGCTTATACACCAATAATTTAGAGTGGAGGCAATTATTAGTAAGTTGAAGGACCCAATAAAGATTATCTTTCATCAGATGTTATCATAATCTAACTTGGTACCTAAGTCAATGAATATAATACTAATTGTATCCGTACACTCTTTATAAATCCCACTGAAATTTAGAAAAAACTTTATAATGCAATTTTAGAAGTATAAAATAAAATCATTACATAAATGACTATTGGTACATCTCTAAATGTAGTATTCAAAGATTCACTTTAATTATTGTAAAATAAATTATAAGAACTCAACTTATAAAATTTATAATTACCTACATCATTTGGATATGGAATAGGACTTGAATTAAAAGAATCCTGTTTGAATATAAATGAAAAATCAACTCATATAGTAACCAAAGGAGAAGTATATTTTATAAATGTCTTATTGGAAAATGTTTAGAATGGATAAAAAAATATCACTTACACAATTTAAGTTGGAGATGTGATTGTAATCACTAATGGTGCTGCTACAATTACTACTACACAAATTCCAAAAGCTTATAAATAAATATCTTATTAATTGTAAGAAGAAGATGAACCTGAAAGAAAACCAGCTCCAGTAAAAACAGATAAAGATAAACCCATAAGAGCTAGACCTCGTAATTAATAAATATAGATTCAAAGATAGAATGAAAAATAGAGATAGATTCATTAAGAGAAATTAGCTAAAGATAAATAGATTGAATTAGAATAAAGATTAGAATAAGATTAATTTGTTTAAAACTAATAAGAAGTTAAAGCTTTAGAATTGGATAAATTATCATGTTACTAAAAACCAGAACAATATCCTAAAGAACTCTAGAAAGGATAGATTTATATTGATAATTATAAATGTGCTCTTTTAGTACCATTATTGGGAACTCACATTCCATTTCATGTATCTTGTATAAAGAATGTGAGTAAAATTGATGAAGGTAAAATGGGATCATCAATCAGAATTAATTTTTTTACATCAGAAACAACAGCTGGATAGATTTAATTTCCCAAAATTGATGGTGAAACAATCTTCATAAAGGAATTATAATATAGATCTAAGAAATCAGATCGTCCATAGAATTTAATACTTTAAATTAAATAATTATAAAAGAAAGTTAAGACTGAGTAATAGGTAGAGATAGAGAAATAAAATGTAGGAGATATGGAACCATTAATAGTAAATAAAGGAGGTCGAAAACCAATTTTTAAGGATTTAAAAGTGAGACCTACTTTTGGATCTGGAAAGGCAGCAGGAGTTTTAGAAGTTCATACTAATGGATTTCGTTATATTCATTCTAATAAGGAATAATTGGATATTGTGTTCAAAAATATTAAACATTATATATATTAAAGTCCAGAATAGGATATTATAGCTGCTTTACATTTTCATTTACATTCTCCAATTGTATTAGGTAAACGTAAAACAAATGATGTTCAATTTTATTGTGAAGTTGGTGGTGCAGTCGAACATTTAGAAGGTAGAAAGAAAACAAATAGAAATGATGATGATGAAATTGAAGAAGAAGAAAGATTAAGAATGCATAGAAAAAAGATGGCAAAAGAATTTGAAGTTTTTATTAAGACTATTGAAGAATTAGGAGCAGAATATAAAATATCATTTGAAAAACCATTTCGTGATTTAGGATTTGAAGGTAATTGGAATAGAGCAAGATTATTCTTATAACCTACTCGTGATACATTGATGAATGTTGTTGAAAGTCCATTCTTTATTTTAACTTTGAATGAAGTAGAAATATGTTGTTTTGAACGTATAATACCAGGCATTAAATCTTTTGATTTAGTATTTGTATTCAAAAACTATGATAAACAAGTACTTAG